TACCCATATATAAACATCATGTATAAACTAATAAATTTTCTAATAAATTTAATAAATTAAAAACAAACCTCGATATTTAGGGTGTAAATAATATGCTAATAGATATTTATCATAGTTGAATGTACGAAATCTTTTATTAAAAATTGAAGTACATTTTCAATAAAACATTAAATTCTGATCCTGAAAAATATTTTTAATAGCAATAGCTAATTTAATATAACCTAAATAACAGTCAGCCAAATTAGCTGTTTTGCTTTCAAGACACACAATAGTATTATTAATTGGTTTTAAAACATTAGAAATATCTAAGATATTGTCAAAAAATCCACGAGATTTTATATATGTTTTGACAATTTTTCCAGTTTTGTTATTGAATAAATGCGCATTTTGATCTAAAATCTTTAAATATATTTATTAGAATAATTAAAATAATAAAATTATATTATACATTTAAAATATGTTTACCTCTTTTAAAGATAGTTTGTGACGATATACTGAATAGATACATTCGTATGCACTAGTCCAGCAGGTCTTGGTATATTTTTTTAATCTATCACCATATACATTTTTATTTATAATTAAAGAATGTAATTGATGTGATGAACTAAAGAAGTTAACAATTGTAGAGCATTGATAAAAAATTTTTTTAACAAATTTATGCTTTAAAATATCATTAAAAATTAGATTCAGACAATGTATAATACAGCACAAATTTAAAATATGTGGATATTTTTTAGAAATTAATTGTTGCGCAACTGTACAATTTGAACCACCATCAGTTACTATAGCTCCAAACTTATGCACATCAAGTTCGTCAAATACTTTTTGAATACAATCTTGTAATATTTTACCAGTATGGCTCTGATTAGATAAGTCAACTAATTTCCAAAGATATTCCTGTTCAGTAGATGTATGAATTACAAAGTTCCATAATGATTTTTCACTTGGATCTGTCCACCTGTCTAAACCTAAAATGGATAAATAGTTTATAGAAGAAATAACTATTAGCATATACTATAAATAATTAATTTATAAATTTATAAATTAAACAAATAATTAATAAATAATACCAAGAGTTAAATTGTTTGTTTTTTCTAAAATATTTCTAATACTTTGATTAACTTTAATTATTTTAGCATTTAATAATCGACCTGCAAGTAATTGTCTTGATGGTGGTTGATATCCAGGCTGTAATTCTCGCAATGCATCAATAAAATATGGATTGCTAATAATGTGAAAAGGTATATTGCATACTACAAATACTTTGATTAAAGCTGAATTAATATTATTTTCACGCTGTAGAGTTAGTTTGGTACTTTCTAAAAACTCAGATAATGATGCTTGATCGCCTGCAAGTTTACGCTTTCTTTTACTTTGTTCAACACCAAGTATAAGTTCCTGAGATACTGCCTAGCCACGACCTTGTCGATTAGAAATAATTTGAGTATAAAAATCTATAATATCCTTATTTTGACTAGGACAGTCTAAAGCTAAATGTTTTTCTAAATCTACAGGTTTGGCACGTGCCCAAAATGCTTCACATTCCTTACACTGTTCTAAACAATGACCTTTTACAGAAGCACCTTTGTTAAAGAAATTCCAAACTCCTGCAAGTGGTCGTCCGGCAGATTTTTTTTGAACAGATTCTTGAAGATTTTCATCTTGAGAATTTTTAACTTGAGAAACTATATCTTGAGGATTTTTATTATCAAAACAGAGTTCGCTCATTTTTTTAAAAAAAAATAAGACATCGCGAAAATTAAAGTTTATATTTTTCAGATCGTTTGAAGATTGATTCAAAAAATTTTTTTTTTAAATCTAAATTATTATAGATGATTTATAAAGATTTAAATACTGGAT